CTCTTGAAGATAGTAATGAAAGGCCTGGCACACCCAGGTAGCTTGTAGCTCCACTCCAGGATCCCAACCAAACTACTGAATCCAACACCCAGACTCTTAGTCGCTCTCTAAGAACCAATCGAAAAAGAAGACAGTTACTAGATGATTCTTATATCTTTCATTAACTGCTGTTTTTTTTAACTGTTTTAGTACACGAAGTTCAATATGTGAAAAAAGATAGTAAACTGTTGATTGTGGCAAACCTTCAGAACATGAATTTTGGCAAATTTGTTGCCAATAAACTTAGCAAATCTACAGCTGTGAAACTGCATACGCATTCTTTTCTACATGATATGACTAGGATAATATGTCAAACACAATAAATTCTTTATTGCATTCATTTCTGAGGGGAAGATTTAATAACTATCTCACCTGTTGGATATTGTGTCATATGGGTCCTTCCTTACTTTGCACGATTCAGCAGTAGCAGCAACGGAAATAACCAGAAGAGTACAACAGGAAGTATCAGAACTATTCAACTTCTTTTTTATTCTTTCTTTTCAGCGGCCGCTATCTTTAAGGCCCAGCTGGAAGGTTTAGCCACAGTCCTTGCTGCAGAAGACACGTGGCCTGTCCAGGCAGCTTGACCCAAGATTTAAAATCTTTCTTTTCGCGCTTCAATTTAATCAAACGGCTAATATGTAATAAATATCATCAGTTTTATTGCCAATATTGTTGGCTTTTTATTCCTCAAATTTTATTAATCGGCCTATTAAATCTGCACACACACACACACACACACACACACACACACACACACATACACATATATATAGAGAGAGATTAAAGACGACAAGCATTTTGTGTCGATTAATTTTAATCATTCTCAGACAAGGAGCAAACTTCGTCAGAAATTGTCCGAAGTTCATTTCGGAAGAATAGTACAAGAAATATGGTCCAAGCTTTCGACTTTCTAAAGTCATCATCAGGATAGGTAGAGTTTCGTAGAACTACTGAGTGTTGTGATGTAGGCAAAGCGTGTTGGGACTTAAGCGAGGTGTTACGTATGTGTGTGTCTGTGTGTGTGTTTTATATACATTTTAAGATGCTGGCTCTTAAAGGACGGCATCCTAAAATATATATAAAAGACACTCACACTCCTCATATCTCACCTATATCAAAACATACATTGCCTATGTCACAGCACTGACTAATTCTACGAAAATCACCATTTGTCTCTACCTACGCAGATGATGAGTTATGTATTTATTTATTAAGGATTACTCATAGCCAAAAAGTTAATAGACACCTGAAGATGATCTGATTGTACTTGGCCGAAACGCCGTGTCTATAATAATAACTTATAAAGTAATAAAAAAAATTTAAAATTCGGAAAAGGAAAAGTATTTTTCTAGGTAAGGAATTCAGCAAAAGGATTTGCTGCTGGAAAATTCCTATGGTTAAGATGGGAAATTATTCCACATGCAGTTTATTCTCTAAGAATTTGCATTCGCCTCTTGTCTAAATATCCATTGTTTGGTTAACGGTTATATAGATTTCAACGCATGGAATAATTCTTGGAAGTGAATCAAAACTGGAATCGTTCTTTTATGATGGAAGATTTTGTCAAAAAGTGGCATAACGTTATAGAAAAGGAAGAAATATATTTTTATTGCTGAAAAAAGGATGATATGAATTTATATGAATAAAAAAATATTGTCAAAAAGTGCTAGAAACATTTGCATCAATCTTACTATTAATTTTGCATCCATTATACAGTTTATAATGAAGCAGGCTAGGACTATATATATATATATATATATATATATATATATATATATACAGAGAGAGAGAGAAAAGAAATATTTACTATGTAGCTTAGATGAAAGCAAGGAGTACTACTGAGTCGTAATTGCTCAACAAGCTTGCTAACCATAGTACCACATGAAAATGGACAATATATATATATATATATATATATATATATAGTCCACTGCTACCAGCAAGCAGAAATTTTTTTTCTCCTGATGATGGTCATGTTGGCCGAAACTAGTCGAGGAATCTAAATGAAATAAAAATAAAAACGAAAGAACATTAATATACAACCCAGTGTGTCTATTAACTTTACGAAGACGGAACGCATGGTTGTTAATAGAAGAGATAGTATGAATTTTTATATGTTAGACGCTAAGAAAGTTGGTTAACTGTGACTAGACAATTTTTCTCTCTAGAATCTATCTTACATGTCTATAAGTCTACCATTCATCAATGTTTAGAATATTATTGGCTAATATGGTCCAGTGCTCTTGCTATATATTTAGATACTAGCAGCATGGCCCGGTGTTGCCCGTGCTTGATTCAAAAATCGTACGACTCATACAGCAATCGCTATCACTTGACTTAAAATATTTTTGCCCTTCCTTGTCTTTAAAGGAGTTCCCTTTTCCGTGCTGATGTTGCTACATGCCTTACTTCTTGCCTATCTCACATTTCGAATTTTTTCTAAGCTCTATACTAAACATTAAATCTGTTACGAAAAAAGAACTAAACAAAATGAACACAAAACGATTAGCTTTAAAAAAGTAACTGAAAAAAAACGAATGAAAAAAGAATGTTAACAACAAATACTTTTTCACACCCAACTCAGTTCTGCGGAATCAGAATCAACGTTGAGTTTAAGCAAGCGAATGAGCCAATTGGAGTAAAATGCCATGCAGATTTAAATTTTTCTCACTTGTGACGAATGCAGTTATCGATTATTTTTGCATGCTAGCATGCTAGGTAACACGCTGGCCAATAGAATCTTCCTGCCTATTCGTGGCAGCCAGCTATTGGCTCTCACTCTGGCCAGTACAAAATGGCCGCAAACTACATGAAAACTGCAGCAGAAGCATGAAAAAAAATCGATTATTATTATTATTTCCACTATCGATGGGAGTTGGGAAATGCAAAGTCGGTCTTGGCCTCCCCGCTAACATGCGCATGTAAATTTTGGTGCAAATCCGTCGAAAATTGCAGCCGTGCATTCGTTACACACACACACACACACACACACACACACACACACACACACACACACACACACACACATCCTGCTTTTATAGATAGAGATTCTTGATAAAATCCAAAGATGAGTCAGCAAAATTATTGGTCCTAACCTGGCGTCTCGGCTTCAGTTACTTTCTCACCACCGTAAGGTTGCCTCTCTGTGTCTTTTCTATAAATACTTTCATAGTAATTGTTCGAATGAGCTCTTCGCTATGGTACCGAAACTTGATGAATTTAAGCGCAGTACTAAACTGGCAATTAAGCCTCATCAATTTACAGTTGAATTGGTGAGTTATAAACGTAAATTCTATGCCAACAGTTTCTTTTCTCGCACTTCCCGCTTGTGGAACTCTTTTCCGGCTCCATGCTTTCCAGCCAACTTTGATTTTACATCTCCAAATCGCAGCTCGAATTGGACTGAAAAATTGCTTGAAGAGAAAGATATAAATTTCAACCGACATCATCACTGGCTGCTCGGTCCATTAATGTCAAATATTTCCTTATAAGGAAGTGGTTTGTATTACCATAATCAACTTCATAGATTAAAGAAATGGTCCAGTTCGAAATTACTTAAATGCTATCCTGATTAAAGAAAAAACGTGAAAAAGGACGCAAAAACCAAAACGATTTTATAATAACAACAAAGAGAAGGATATTTGTAAGAATGTATATAATAATGACTCATCGAAGAAATTTGTTCATTTTTTTATCCGGTTCCTGTCGACTTCTACACATACCATGTTCTTTAAGAACGTGGGTGATCATGGCTCTTCACAACCTCCAGCCCTTTATAACTCTTAGTAATATTTGTCTCTTTGCCAAACCATCCACCTCCCAATCATCCATTCACACAAGCTCTTCACCTGTCCTTCTTGCCCTCAATATGCCCTTTGAGTGTAAAATTCGCCTAGCCGTCCTTCCTTATTAAATGTTCAAGAAATTTCAATTATCCATTTTGTTTTCATTGTTCTTAAGACAATGGAAACAAAACGTTTCTTATGCACTCTGTCCAAGGAATTCTCAGTATCCTTCTGTAGAACCACATCTCTGTTACCTCAAGTCTTCTTTTCATCTCTGATTGTCCAGCCTTCACTGCCATGTAGGACGATTGATGTTACATAATAGTTGAGAACTCTTTTCTTTGTTTTTAACGAAATTCTTATGTTTCTTAATGCTTTTCTTAGTTTTTGGAAGGCATCTTCTCTATTTCAATGCGACTTCGGATTACGATGTCACTTTTTTTGTCATCTGTTAAAACACTTCCCAGATATTTAATCTTCTGCAATTGTTTCATTTTGACATTTCCAATTCGTAATTCGTGTCTTGGTGTTTTTCTCTTGTTGACAATCGGCCATTCTGTTTTCTTACAATTGACACTTACTCCATAGGATTCTCTAAATATGAAATGCTTTGTCGATGGTATTCTCAAAATTCGTCAGTAGAATCAAATATTGTGTATGTGTGTGTGCATTTCACCCCAAGCAAGGGTGGAGTGCCGCTAGCAAGAGTAATGGGGAGTGTTTGTGAAAAGGGTGTAGAGAAGGATGGCGATTGGGATCAAGCCATCCGAAGATGTCGATTAACATTACATTTGAACATTTGAAGCAAGTAGGAAGAAGGGAGTTCCAGGGAAGTGCAAGAGAAAAAGCCGTTGGCGGTTACATTTAACTGTTTTCGCAGTAAAAGAGTGGGACCGAGATGCCAACATGGTAGCACGCTCAAATCATGCAATCGGGGTACCAGTGAAAGTAGCTCGTCTGAGCAGTTGCTATAAAAATACTTGTAGAAAAGACAGAGGGAAGACATAGCATGTCTATGAGAAAGTGCCTGTAGACGAGATGCCAGGTCAGGACTTATCATATTGCATATCCGTCTCTGGATTTTGTTGAGAACTTCGAATTGCAGGAGCACCAGACCATATATGGCAACAGTATTCAATGCAAGGATGAATAGTAGATTTGTAGATGTGAAGGATGGACTCAGACGAGAAAAACCTTCTGGCGCGACACAGAGAACCAACTTTTCTTGCGCTATCTATCTATCTATCTATCTATCTATCTATCTATCTATCTATCTATCTATCTATCTATCACACATGCAACACACTCACACACGCACACATACACGCATTTACAATTGAAAGGACCGGGATGTGGTTCTATTAACGAATTTTGATAATACCATAAACAAAGCATGCGACAAATGTGAATATTTTAAGCAGAAAAAAACCCACAAAGAAATATTTTTCATAAAATCAAAAAAGGAAAAAAAAAAATAAAAATAAAAAAACAAACAAACAATCCGTAATTACTTGTAAAAAAAATCCGTAAATAATTATAGGTTTATAAAAACAAAATCGGTATTATAAGTTTATAAAATCCGATATTAAATAAAGATTTATAAAAATCCGGTATTAATTGTAAAAAAAGGAAAAATCTGGTATTAATTGGAAAAACAAAATGAATCCGATAATAATCTGATTCATTATTCTTACGCCCCCGCACATACAAACTTACAACACCTGGTATTCCCAAGCCGTCACCCATCAATGTACTGACCAGGCTTGTCGTTAATTAACTTTGGTGAATTTCTCGGTATTTCAACGTGATTTGGCCGTAAGCTTTACTTAGTGTAGGTTGACCTGACTCCATTGGACACCGAAGAAACAATTTGTATTGTAATATTCATTAATTCAATATTAATCATATTTCTGTTGTAGAATGCTGTAATCGAGTCAGCATCAAACGATAAAAGACTGAAGAACATTTTGGAAATTATTGTTCAATCTGAAGATGAGCATATGTTTCCAAATCTTCCATTTGCTGTTGAAATTATGCTAACAATAGCAAGTTCCATAGCGACCAGCGTTATATCTTTCAACAATAAAAAGTTAGTTTTGTCCGATTTGAGATGGGCCAAGTTAGATTGTGTGACGCGGCACCTGTGAATGCAGAGAAAATCCTCAAAATGGCGACTTTGAAGGTAGGATTGACAAATTTGCTTCAGTGAAAGCAAGAAAGGTACAGTCTTGGGCCAAAACGACACCCCAATTTGTCACTTGCTTCCTCTGGTCTTATCGTAGTATTAATGCAATAACTTATTAAAATATATCTCCTTGAGTTGCATTTTATACTTTCAGAATTGCTCAAAGAAGAATTTAAAAGATTATTAAAGTATACGTGAAAGTTTTCATTCTGCTAGGAGCTGGTGGAACTTTGCATTCTGTCGAGAGTCTGTTCCACAAAGCAGCAGTTTTTGGAGTGAAACAAGTTTCTCTGCAGCTGACGTAAAAATTCATACTGTCTCTTCTTTTTAACAACCATGCGTTCCGTCTTCGTAAAGTTAATAGTTTGTCCTTTCTTCTTCCTTTCCTCTAATAACGCTCTCATTAATAAATATATAATTTTAATATGTCAAATCCGTATGAAATAATTATTTGCTTTCTTCTCGTGTCGCTATATGGGTTAAATAGATTAAAAAAGAAGAAGAAGAAATAAGTGGTTTTGGGAATTTATAAAAAAGAAAGCGTTACTATGACCTAATCGAATATATAATCTAAAACTATTTCTTTGAACTGATCAAACAGAAATCGTTACAATGAACAATTCAAATATAAAATAGAAACTATTTTTATAAGCGGATCAAAAAGAGATCGTTACTATGAACAAATATATAATCGAAACGACATCCGAACTCTATCAAGACAGCCAGGTGAGGGCTGGAGATCTACAGCTCAGATATGGCAGTAATACTCCATTTTGATCTGATCTGAATATATCAGGATAAGTCAGATACTGGAGCGGTACAATGAACAGACCATTTTCCCATCATTTATAGCAATAGAGGTTTTGGGAGAGCTTGAATCCCAATAGACGTTCAAGACTATTAACGTCCTTGAGAGAACACAGATCCATCATTACTATTACTAATGCAATTACTTATTAAAATATATCTTCCTATGGTACCATCATATTTACATTATTTCTCACGAAAAAACTTAAAATAGTGAAAGCAAGAAATGTATCGTCTTAAGTGAAACGAATACATCTCTTCGTCCCATGTTTCCTCTTTTCTTTTCGGAGTATTTTATTAAACTTATTAAAATATCTCTTCTTGTGATGCCGTCACGCATTCATAATTTGCCAATGAAAATCTTTAAAAGATTACTAAAAATTATTCATCTTCTCGTGGGGTATTTTACTGATACCGAAAGTTTATAGATGATTTTCTCTTGTCAGAGTGAGTTCAAAGATTGTCCTCTGGTGGTGCCATTATATAATCATATAATAATTATGCTTATCCCTCCCTTCGTTAGTTCCTTAATACGCCCAACCGTTACGTCCTGTCAACACGTCATAAATAATGGATTATTCCGTTTTGATCCCGTTGCAAAAAGGAAAAGACATGTCAGAGACGCTACTTGGTTTCAGTGAAAAAATAAAGATAGAAGTATTTAACGATTCCTGCTAAGACCTCATAAATAATGGACTGTTCCGTTTTGATCGCGTGAGAAGACAAAAGACATATCAAAGACGCTACTTGGTTTCAGTGAAAAATAAATAAAGGAAGATAAAAGTGTTAAACGTTTCCCGCTGAGAACTTAGCTAGACACAATCACTGACCCAAATATACTGCAATATTCCTCACACGAAACATCGCAATTTGTACTTACCATTCTTACTACATCCACCATAATACCTGGGAATCACCATGAAGTCCTAACTAGTCCCCATATGCAAAATTCTTGTCTGTGAGGGGAGGGGAAATAAACAACAAATTTAAAATCTAAACCCCGATGCGAAGAGCTCATCCGAACAATTACCATGAAAGTATTTATACAAAAGGTAAAGGGAGGTAACCTTACGGCGGTTGGGAAAGTGACTGAAGCCGAGATGCCAGATAAGAACCAATAATATTGCTGATTCTTCTTTAGATTTTATGAAGGAGCTGTAGACAAATAGCAGGAACACCGGACCATAATTGACAGCAATATTCTAAGCATGGACGAATAGTGGACTTGAACAGTCTAAATCGATTATTGAAAACGTTAATGTCCATTGACCTGAAATGGAACGCAAATATTCGATCCATCGCTAAAAACATTGGGAGAAGGGTCGGTTTTTTGTATCACTCCAGGGCCTTGCTTCCTTGCTCTGTTTTTGCAAATGTCAAGTCAAACGCACAATGGAGTATTACTGCCTGTCTGGACTGAGGATGCCCAATTCTCACTTTGCAGCCTTGATAGAGTTACCCTACAGCTATTTTCATAACAGATGTTTAGTCGAGCAACATTCCTTAGTACCGCCAGTTCAGACCTTCACATCTAGCACCCACCATGCCACTAACACAGGTTTGGCTCATCCTCATTATCTTCATATTCCATTTGTAAGGAGGAAGTACTTTTCAGCATCTTCCTCAGAACTGTTACTCCCTGGTCACTACGATCTTAACCTCTGCAGGGCCAGCTATCATCTATCCCACATATCCTTACAATATTTCTTACTTCACCTGTTTGCGCCTTTAAAACAATCACATTCCGCCACTGACCACCTTCAGTGAAGCATAGACCTTCTATTGGGCGAAGAATAATATAACAAAATATAAAATGAGTTTTTAAAACTTGACTGAATACTGACCAGGTGTATCGCTCCAACCAGTTATAAAACAAGGCTCTTCTCTCCTTGGAAGTTCAATTTCACTTTCACCGTATACGTTGTTGGCACTGTTGTCTTCTTCTGGTCCGTGATAGTGGTGAATAGGAAGGACATTATCACCCATGTCAAAAGACTTGCTGAAGCGTAATAGAGACAGATCGTGTGGCGAAGCCCGCAAACTTCCGTTAAAGCCCGGATGCTGCAATTAAATGTATTTCTTATAAATTATATAAATAAAAAAGTGTACCTATAGCGTCAAAATTGACGGCAAGAAGGAAAGTATTATAATATGTATTATATTGTAAGTAATTTTCGTTTAATTCAAGTACAATTTTGTAATTTAAAATAGTTCGTTGTTAACATTAATAACTGAAAAGTGTACAGTTTATAAACACCCAGGGAAAGATATCCATATATTATCCTCATAAATGTTACATATTTACAACCAAAATTATGTTTACTGCAAAAGTTCCCAAAGCATATTTTATGTGTAAACTTTGAAAGGTCTGAGTAATCCTTGACAGTACGTAGATTCAATCTGTAATTTCAGATTCTGCTTATTTCTCGTCCTACTAAGAGCTATGTAGCATCAGATATTTTTTTCTCAAGCTATTACAAAATTCCACAAGATATGCTCCGAATTTTAAGATACAATAATTATCGACAAAATAAATATATATAGAGACTCAGTATCATCCAACCCACCTCTTTGCAAAAAAAAAATATCATCGTATAATCTGTATTTGCGAAGATATTTTACAACTAAAAATACTTAATACGAATCCATTTTTCGCAATGTAAGTGTTTCGAAATTCTCAGAATAAAAAAGTAAAAACAAACGGGAATAATTGTTATTCCTATTCGTTTTTACTTTTTAATTCTGTCAGTCTTGGTCACTCCTTAATTGAAGTAAAACAGTACAAAGAAGTTCGAGACTTCTTTGTACTGTTTTACTCAAATTAAGAAATGACCAAGACTAGCAAATGCTGGCCGAAATATTTGCATTAAAAAAATAAATCATTTGTTAGAATTACAAGTTTTTTTCTTTCTTTTAATTATACAACTACCAATGGAGACAAACATCCTAACTTTGGAATGACATAATATATTATGAAATGGACTAAATCCGAAAATTATTTTAATGTATTTATGGTTTATACGTTATTTTTATAGATTCAAATATTTAAGTAATTGCTCTGTTTATAATAAACAGTATTAACAACATTTACCGGTTTGAATGTCCGATTCCGTGTAAGGTTAGAGGTTCGATTTCTATCGGAGGACACATATTTTCTTTGGGGTTTCTCAGACATTCAGGCCGATAAATGTTGTTAATACTGTTTATTATAAACAGAGCATTTACTTAAATATCTGCATCTATAAAAATAACGAATAAACAGAAAATATATTAAAATAATTATCGGATTTAGTCCATGATGTCATTTGTTTACGTTAAGATACGCTTCGAGCAGATATGAGCGTTCGAAAGAAATCATGGGAA